CAGCCATGAAAGTAAAAGATGCTTGCTCCTTGGAAGAAAAGTTATGACCAACCTAGACAGCATATTAAAAAAAAGAGACATTACTTTGACAGCAAAGGTCCATCTAGTCAAGGCTACGGTTTTTACAGTAGTTATGTATGTATGTGAGAGTTGAACTATAAAGAAAGTTGAACACTGAAGTATTAATGCTTTGAACAATGGTGTTGGAGAAGACTCTTGAGAGTCCCTTGGACTGCAAGGAGATCCAACCAGTCCATCCTAAAGGAGATCAGTCCTGGGTGTTCATTGGAAGGACTGATGTTGAAGCTGAAACTCCAATACTTCGGCCACTTGATGCGAAGGGTTGACTCATTTGAAAAGACCCTGATGCTGGGAGGGATCGGGGGCAGGAGGAGAAGGGGACGACAGAGAATGAGATGGTTGGATGGCATCACCAACTCAATGGATATGAGTTTGAGTAAACTGCAGGTGTTGGTGATGGACAGGGAGGCCTGGCATGCTGCAATCCATGGGGCTGCAGAGTCGGACACGACTGAGCGACTGAACTGAATGTCAGAAAAATGAGAAAGAAGAAAATGTATGTATTTTTGGCCCAAGAGAAAATTGCATATATGTGGAATCTAGAAAAATGGTACAGATGAACCTATATACAGGGCAGGAACAGAGATGCAGACACAGAGATGGGCAGACAAGGGTGAGGGGGAATGGAGCGGATGGGATGAATTGCGAGATTGGGATCAACATATATACACTACCATGTGTAAAACAGATGTCTAGTGTCAACCAAGTGTATAGCATAGGAAGCTCAGTCAGTGCTCTTTCTGACCTAAAGGGGTGGGATGGTGGGGGGAGGCAGTGGGAGGGAGGTCCAGGGTGAGGGGAAAAAGAAAAATATGCACACATATAGCTGAGTCACTTTGTTGTATAGCAGAAGGTAATGCAATATTGTAAAGCAACTATACCCACCCCCCCCCCAAAAAAAAGAATGAGACAAGTTAAAGGGCAGTGGAAAGAAATAATTCTAAAAGCTTTGCAACGGCCTCTTATCCTCCAAGTGAGTCGACAGTCCTTACTGGTTGCAGAGAACATCCCTAGGACACATCACAGCCTTAGGCTGCCAGCCCAGGTGGTCCCGCCCCATCAGCAGTCCCAGTCCCTGGTGAATTGCCATCTTACTATTCCTGATGGACTTTCTCTGCAAATGTGTGGAGAACTGGGAATGGAGATACTCTGCAGTGAAGTGGCTGCTTCTGCCTCTCTCTGAATGGCCTGCTAGTCCGCATCGCTGTACAAAGGCAGATCACAGATAATGAGTTAAGTTTCCAGCAAAGACTAGGAGGAGTTATGATGGTCAGTTCCCATCAACAGTGGCAGAGATGGTTGTTGTTCAGTCATTAAGTCGTGTCCAACTCTTTACAACCCCATGTGGTCTGTAGAACACCAGGCTTCTCTGTCCTTCACCACTTCCTGGAGTTTGCTCAAACCCATGTCCATTGAGTCAGTGGTGCTAACAGCTCAGCCTCTGCCATCCCCTTCTCCTCCTGCCTTCGATCTTTCCCAGCATCAAGGTCTTTTCTAGTGAGTTGACTCTTCACACCAGGTGGCCCAAAGTATTGGAGCTTCAGCTTCAGCATCAGTCCTTCCAATGAATATTCAGTGTTGATTTCCTTTAGGATTGACTGGTTTGATCTCCTTGCTGTCCAAGAGACTCTAATTCAAAAGCATCAGTTCTTCAGCACTCAGTCTTCTTTATGGTCCACTTCTCACATCCATACATGCCTACTGGAAAAAAAACATAGCTTGGACTATACAGACTTTTATCAGCAAAGTGATATCTTTATTTTTTAATGTGCTGTCTAGGTTTGTGATAGCTTTTCTTCCAAGGAGCTAGCATCTTAATTTCATGGCTGCAGTCACCATCAGCAGTGATTTTGGAGCCCAAGAAAATAAAATCTGTCACTGTTTCTGCTTTATCTCCATCTATTTGCCTTGAAGTGATGGGACCAGATGCCATGATTTTGTTTTTTTGAATGTTGAGTTTTAAGTCAGCTTTTTCACTCTCCTCTTTCACCCTCATCAGGAGGCTCTTTAGTTCCTCTTCACTTTCTGCCATTAGAGTGGTATCATGTGCATTTCTGAGGTTCTTAATATTTCTCCTAGCAATCTTGATTTCACAACAAGGCTGTGATCCCTGAAAGGGGTTAGAGCATGAGGCTCACTCAAGACTGAAGTTTCCCTCAACATCATCCTCCCAGTAGACAAATGTCAGGGATGACTAGAAAGTTTACCAGGATACATAGCCTCATATAACGCCAAAGGTAGACTCTAAGGTATTAGTATCTGTTGCTGTAGTTTAGTCACTAAGTCATGTCGGACTCTTTTGTGACCCCATGGACTGTAGGCCACCAGGCTCCTCTGTCCATGGGATTTCCCAGGCAAGAATACTGGAGTGGGTGGCCATTTCCTTCTCCAGGGGATCCTCCTGACCCAGGGATCAAACCTGCATCTTCTCCATTGGTAGGTGTATTCTTTACCACTGAGCCACCAGGGAAGCCTAAGATAGTATCTAGGGGATTTTTCTGGAGGGTGGGGAGGGCTTTTTTCCCAAAATATAATGAAATGGAAGCCCAAAGAGATGGTGATTTGCCTAAAACATTCAGTTCTTCTTCCAAGATTCTTTGCAGTAAATATAGCACATGTAGTGCTTACCCTTAGTGCTTTGTTGCTAATGGAAGTAAGTTACAGTCCCTAATTACTATTTACTGACGTTGATGAGGACCATAATGGAGGACCAATTAATTAAACATTTATTGATCACTCCTTATTAGTAGGTGTTAGACAGAGAAGCTTCCCAGATGCAATGGTAAAGAATCTGCCTGCCAATGCAGGTAGACATAAGAAACACGGGTTTGATCCCTGGGTCAGGAAGATCCCTTGGAGGAATAAACAGCAGCCTACTCCAGTTTTCTTGCTGGAAAATACTATGAACAGAGGAGCCTGGTGGGCTATAGTCCGTAGGATTACAAAGAGTCAAACACAACGGAGCAATTGAGCACGTGCACACACTAGGCAGAGAAATATGAATAAAACAATGTTTAACATCACAGTGCTTATAGCCTGATAAGGGAAACGAACACAGATACAGCTATATGATAGTGTGATGAGAATAATAAATAGGTGAATAAATAGCATAAATAAATAGGCAGAGGAACTCAGTGTGATCACTTTGTATGGTACCCAGAGGTGAAAAGGATGGAAATGATTTGGGGGGATAAAGATTCTGCCACAGAATAAAGACTTTTCTGCCCCATGTAAAGACTTTTGGGGACTCCCCTGGTGGTCCAGGGGCTAAGACTCCATGCTTCCCAGGTGGCACTAGTGGTAAACAACCCGCCTGCCAATGCAGGAGACATAAAAGATGCAGGTTCGACCCCTGGGTCAGGAAGATCCCCTGGAGGAGGAAATGGCAACCCACTCCAGTATTCTTACCTGAAGAATCCCATGACTGGAGCAGCAAGGGTAACAGTCCACAGGGTCACAAAGAGTCAGATGCATCTAAAGCGACTTAGCACACAGCACAGGTCCAGGTCCCGGGGTTAAGACTCCATGTCTCCAATGCAAGGGTCACGGGTCTGATCCCTGGTTGGAGAATCTAAGATCCCACGTGCTGTGTGGTGTAGCTAAAAGAAAAAAAGGCTTTTGTATCATGACATAGTCCAGTTAGACATAGTCTAATTTGGAATTCTCATACATTTCTGGTGAGACTATAAAATGGAACAAACTCTTCAGAACACTGTATTTCAGGAGTTAGTCAAGCTAAACATATGTGTTGCCTCTTACTTAACCATTTCACTCCTGGGTTTATACCCAAGTGATATGAATGCGTATGTCCCTCAAAAGACATATACAAAAATGTTTTTAACAGTGTTACTCATTTAGCCCCAAACTGACACATATTCATACAATGGAATAATATACATCAGTGATAAAGAACAGACAATTGATACATGCGGTGGCAACGATTACTCTTACAGAAAACATAAAGTAAAATACTAAAGAGCACAGACTTTATATTCTGTTTAGGTGAGCTGGGTACCTACTCTTGTCTCATAGGAGCCACTGCAGGTCACATGGTCTCAGGCAGGGAAAGAGGATCTTTTCACAGAAGTAGAGACAACTTGGGAAAATGATGCATTTCCTTTAGGGACATATGCAGGCTAAGAGCCCAAGAACCTCTGCTTCAGCTTTGTATCTGTAACCTCTGGCTCTGGAAGTTTTTTTTTAATGTAACAGTTAAATATCCTTAGCATAAAACCTTTCATTAATATGATGCAAAATGGACATTTCATTTTCTTCTCTTAGCTCTTATATGTTCTAAACTCCACAGGGGAGATGAGGAGAACCCAAGGGGGTGAGGGAGAAAATGCTTTCCTAGATAATCAGCCTTGGAGTAATCAAGAGTTGGCTGAATTCCCTCCTGGCCTTTGCTGCATTTAGTCAGTGTTTTATGAGAATGGTTGAGCTCTTAGGTGACCCCCATCCCTGTTTGCTGATACTACTCATTTCTTTATGCTCTGTTGATGGGAGAATGAAAATACAAGTAGTAGTTTAATTTCCTAGGAATCCTCAATACAGAAAGATCTATGTAATATAGAGAAATTGAATATAATTAACCCATGCAATCTAGAAATTCTTCAAAATTTCGACTTCCAGTTTGTATCCATTGATGTTCAGTGTATAGATAAGCTAAATACTGATTACACCAATCAGTTCAAAGAAAAGGTTTTTGCCTACATTATCTGGATATTTCTCATTAACTAATCGATATAAATTTGATAATTTACAAAATGAGATATTCACCTTCTGCTTTGGTTCAGAACTGTTCTCTACCTCTCCAGGCATAATCAAAGCATGGTTTCTGAAATGTTTGTCTTTTCAAACCAGGGATAAAGCTATAGCCATCCATATCCTATTTATTTTTCAATCACTGTTCTTAACAGGGCAAGAGAATGATTCAACGAAGAATGAAGTAAAAATTGAGGCAGAGTCGCAGAGTTCATATATGGAAACAGAAGGTATTGAAACCAGAATATATTGCTATCTGAGCATGAGGTGATGCTGTCATGACTTCTGTACATGCTGGTGTGTGTGAGCAGGGTGCATGTATGCTTTTAGGCAGTGATTCTGGGGAGTGGCTCTAGTGGTCTCCTTATGTGACCGTTGAAACTTGGAGGGGAAAAAAGAACTTTAGCTTTCTGAGCTTTAGTCACTGCTTTCTCACACATTCCAGCTAAAACATCTCTGAGCTTCCTTCTGTCCCATTCTATTTAGAGCTTTCATCAAACCAAGAAGATGCCATGATTGTGGAGCACCCAGAAGTGACCCCACTGACAGACGACCAAGAAGAAAGTGAAGGTGAAAAAGGTAGGACTACTCTTAAATTACCCAGTCAAGAATAGAGAGTTTCTTTGGATTCCTGCCTAGAATCCAACCATCTGCATTATCCTCATTCAATTGGAGATTGTCAAGGGGCAAAATGAATATTTCTTTAATTCTGAACTTACTTTTGAAAGTAAAATTAAATCCAGAAGTAGTGAAAGAAGATACTTGTAACAGTTTTTCATTCTTTCAAGGAGTATGAGGATGTTTTTATTATTAATTTAGATTCATTTTTTTAATTATAGTTTTGAGAAAACCTCTAAGAAACAGATATTATGAACTAGATGGATGAAAGTCCTAGAAAATCTGAAATGGCTTTAAAACAACTAAATTAACTGTTTTGTATTGATTTCATTCTGTCATCCTTCATATGGTAGTGATTAAGGAAGCAATTTGTATAAAATACATGCATTGTATGAACCTTCTAAATTATAAGTTTGTCCACTAATATTAGGATACAATAATTTTGAGTACTGGTAAAAAAAAAATAAGTGAGCATTATAATGATTTTAGAGAACATTAGCGGAATGGTCACTTTGTAAATTTTAATGTAGCATTTGGGGCAAGAAGCCAATATATTAAAAGTGGACATTAAAAAAGTCTTTAAATTTATCAAAGAAATTTATTAAAGAACTTAAAGAATTTAAAAGGAGCTAAGAATGGGAAGTCAAAAAGAAAATAGTTTGTCTCCTATACTGTATCATAAATCATACCATTCTTAAATATGTGTTTGCAAGGTAGTTACAGAGTAATAACTTGACAGGCCTTGTTTAGAGAACACAGTGATCAATTTTGTTTCCAAATGAAAATGTAGACATGATCTCAATTGTAAAATCAGGTCAATAGTAAGTACAGCTTCCAAATTACAAACTCTTTTTTGGCAGCAGCATTGACACAGTTTAATTACCAAGTCATGTTAGTGATTTTGAGATTTTTTTTTTATTCCACTGCATTTAGAGCACAATATTCTTCTATGCCTTTTGTCTAATGACCTCTTCTCTAACAGCAAATCCTAGTTCAGACTCATGACACCGCGTTCCTGGCAAGTCAAGTAAATATTTGGAGAATTTTATGTCTGACAATGATAATGGAAAATTGATACAACCCTCACTTGAAATACAGATACATGGCTTTTGTTACTGTACACAAGTTCATGTGCCCAATTCACAGTGAGGCCAAACAAATGGAAATGTCAGAGTTCTGAGCAAAGAAACATTTATTGCAGGGACATATAAGGAGAACAGGTGGCTTATGCTCAAAAAATCCCAAACTCCCTGGAGGGTTTCGGCAAAGCATTTTCAAAGGCCAGGTGAGGGAGAGGAATCCAAGGGTGTGTAATCTGTCTACAGCAGAAATTATTTACTTTTTATGTTGTACTTCAAGACATGCAAATGAGGAACATCAAACAACTGGTTCATTGTGCTTTTCTTCACTTTGCCAACAAGGGAAAATGTCCGTGCCCAGCACACATCGACTTGTCACCCTTCTCCCAGCGGTTTCTCCAGCATGCGGCGTTCCTCTAGTTACCGAAGAGCTCAGTTCTCTCCCGTAGAGATCGCTGCCAATCCTCTTCTCCGCATGGACGGATGGCACATGAGAAAGAAGTGACATCAAATTCTGCTACTTGCTTGTGTCAACTTTGAAGTTGAATTTCTTTGTTAAGGGACTCCTCTGGTGGTCTCTCAACTTAAAAAATTATTCACATCCTGTAAGTTGAGAGTTTCGGTTTACTCAATGGGCATTTTCAGGACTTCAAGCCCAGGAGACAGTGCCTTAGAGAACTACTCCAAAGAGGCAAAGCGGGTAGCCGACTCATATAAAACTTCCGCAAGAAAGGGCAGGTAGTCTGAACATCAAAAGATTATTGTTAATTAAAGGAAAACCAGGTATCTCGAGTTAAGGAATTTGGCACTTTTCTGTGTATGAGAAGACACAGGAGTTTAGGCTCACCGAGATCATTCCTTTGATACACACCTCCCCTGTCCGCGGCCAGCGTCCTGTATTTTCACATCCCGAGTTTCCTCAGGGCTCACCGTGGAGAGTGACTGCAAGGAGTAGCTGCTACATAGCAGGTGTTCTTTTCTTTCTTGAGTTCTGTCAGGGCTCAGCAGCCCGCTGTCGGCAGTGCTGCAGTTGCTGATGACTGTGACATCCTTCGTTTACTGATATGATAGGAAATACTCCGTTCCTCCGTCCAGTGGTTAAGAGTCCACGCTCCCACTGCAGAGGCCATGGGCTCCATCCCTAGTTGTAGAATCAAGATCCCTACCCCCACAAAAAATATATATATAACTTCTTTGTTATATGTTCTGCCTTGAATTTGCTCTTGTTCAGTTGCTAACTTGTGTCTGAATCTTTGGACCCATGAACTGCAGCACACCAGGCTTCCCTGTCCTTCACTGTCTCCCTGCGTTTGTTCAAACTCATGTCCATTGAGTCAGTGATGCCATCCAACCGTCTCATCCTCTGTCTCCCCCTTCTCCTCTTGCTCTCAATCTCCCCCAACATCAGGGTCTTTTCCAATGAGTAGGCTCTTCAGATCAGATGGTCAAAATACTGGAGCTTCAGCTTCAGCATCAGTCCTTCCAATGAATATTCAGGGTTGATTTCCTTTAGGACTGACTGGTTTGATCTCCTTGCTATCTAAGGGACTCTCAAGAGTCTTCTCCAGTACCATATTTCAAAAGCATCAATTCTTTGGTGCTCAGCCTTCTTTATGGTCCAATTCTCACATCTGTATATGATTACTGGAAAAATCATACCTTGGAATAGATAGAGGTTTGTTGGCAAAGTGATGTCTCTCCTTTTTAATCTGCTGTTCTAAATTTATCATAGCTTTCCTTCCAAGGAGCAAGTGTCTTTTAATTTCATGGCTGCAGTCACCATCAGCAGTGATTTTGGAGGCCAAAAAAAGAAAATCTGTCACTGTTTCCACTTTTTCCCCATCTATTTGCCATGAAGTGATGGGACCAGATACCATGATCTTTGTTTTTTGAATGTTGAGTTTTAAACCAGCGTTTTCACTCTTCTATTTCACCTTCATCAAGAGGCTCTTTAGTTCCTCTTCACTTTCTGCCACTAAAGTGGTATCATCTGCATGTCTGAGGTTGTTAATATTTCTCCTGACAATCTTGATTCCAGCTTGTGAGTCATTTCACATGATGTACTCTGCATGTAAGTTAAATAAACAGAGTGACAATATACAGGCTTGATGTACTCCTTTCCCAATTTGGAACCAGTCTGTTGTTCCACGTCCGGTTCTAACTGTTGCTTCTTGCCCTGCATACAGGTTTCTTAGGAGACAGATAAGGTGGTGAGATATATTTTTGTTTAAATTTGAAATAACTTGAAATTAATCACCCCCTCATCTTATTCCTTGCTTCAAAGTAAGAGTTGAAAGCTATTCTGTTGCCTATAAGGAAAATAAAGGAAGGAAAAGGAAGTGATAAGAATTTGGGGATGGATTTGGGGTGTGATGCCTTGGCCCCACGCCCACTGGCAAGGGGATGAACCTGGGGCAAGTGAGTTACCCTTTCAGTGCCTCAGTTTCCTCATCGGTAGGAGGGTGATGACTGAAGTACCTGTCACATGTGGTTGTGATGAAACTTTAATGAGTTAACACTTGTAAAGCAATTCCAACAGCACTGGACACACAGAAAGCATACCCTAAGTGTTCAGTATTTATCATAATTGGATAAATTGGTGACAAAGTCAAGAGAACCCGCATGTGGAGTTCCTCAAGTCCATTCCCATTTTGAAGCCATAAAAATTTCACATAGTCTACATTATCCTTCAACAGCAAATTGTTCTGCCCATTTCATTCTAAATACCATCTGCTACAGGCTCATTTTGGTATATGTGTTTAATCCATAAAGATAGAACAATTAATGAAAGGTAAGGAGACATTTCTCTGTGTTCAGAATTTTTTTTTTTGTCAAAACCTCAATCTTCTGTTTGAGAAATGCTGATTCAACTATAATTTCTATTTTTGTTCTGGGTTTTTTAAAAAATATCTATTTATCTGGCTGTGACAAGTCTTAATTGCAGCAAGTGGGGTCTTTTAGTTGTGGGATCTAGTTCCCTGATGAGGGATTGAACCTGGGCCCCCTACATTGGGAGCACAGAGTCTTAGCCACTGGATCGCCAGGGAGGTCCCTAATTTCTATTTTTGAAAGAAGATGCCTTTAAATTTATTGGTAGAGCCAGAGATTAAAAGTAGCAAATAAATTCAAAGTTGTAGACTGTTCTTTAGCTTTCTGTTGTTTCATATAGTTACTGTACAGTCTTATTTAAAAACATTTTGAGAATATAGTTTGGAATTTTGTGTATATTCATAATGTCTCTAATAGAAAGTTGCACATATGCATTAAGAACCTCTCTAATCAGAAAAAAAAAAAGAATATTCTGTTAAATTTCTAAGGAAATTGTTTACAGCCTTAGAAATATTGATTCTCTTTTGAGGATCTTTCGAAGGAAACAGAAAATAGTTTGAAAGTGGTTCCTTTCAAAACATTCCAGACTAGGAAAAATGTATCTAGAGCCTTTACTCTCATTTCACAGCATCCTGTAAGATTAGAAAATATGCTTGATCTTAAGGATATATCTTTGATGGCTCCCAGGTGTGTGGGCACAGATGTTGTAGCATTTTTGAAGTTAGCTCTACCAAAATAGGAGTTTTAAAGCGAAGTGAAAATATTCAGCAGAAGTTCATGCTGGTAAAATTACACAATAGCACAATGGACATGTCCCTAGGAGACCTAAAATACAAAAATTTCAACAGGCATAAAGTGAGATTTCACATACGGCAGCTTTTCCCATATAGCCACATTGCCTCTTCCTAAATGAGTCCAGTTTTATTCTTTCCCAGCAGGGTCTGTGCACATATGAAATCCAGTAAAATAACATCATTTAGGTTAATAACCAAATAAGAAAGTAACCCTATAGATCTCCTCTCAAAAGGATCTCTTGTTTTAGCATAAAATGTA